TTATTAATCAAGAGTTGCCATTAATGGGGAAGCAGTAGTGATATATCGGTGAAGTGTAGGGGGGATACAGGAATAATAATCTAATTGGTTGACGGTGGCATTATTAGCCGAAATAGGCAAGGGTGTCTCTGACTGATACGTGCCTTCTGCGTCTCGAGCTCCGACCTTGCGGTGCCCTCCTTTACGAGAAACACGCGCTGTTAAGGCGAGCTCGGGCTCGTCTCGGTTGCTATATTATGAGCCTCACGGGTTGAGTACTTTCCTCATGTTGTTCTGACAACTGACTGCTTTATGCCTGATGAAACTCCCTTCTCATGGCTCTGGTTGTCTATCAATTGGGTGCCGCGCGACATCCTAAGCTCGAAACCATAACACCGAAACGTTGCTGGGTCTGATGCTGGGAATGGCAATCCTCGCCATGCAAGCTAGACTGAGGATAGCTGCAACAACAATGAACAGAAACAGTACTGGTTCTTGAAGACACATAGTTCTAATTGTCGCGTTCATCTTAGAAACACCGGCACTGTAACTTCGAAAGACGCTTCAAAAAGCAGAAACCCAAGCTGGTTAGTCTCCTGCTGCGCAGCTTTCTCGCCCCATGCAACAGCCTTCCGCTGAAGGTCCTCGGGAGGCAGGTTGTGCTGGACTTAAGCAGGGCACTTAGAATGCAGGGGGTCTCAACACTTACCAGAGGTTTCGGATCTCGGGACATGTACACCAACAGTATGAGTTTATAAGTTTATAAGCTTCCGCCGTTTCCGCATCGCCTGCGGGGAGTTGCCCTGCTCAGCAGAGAAAGCCTCATGTCAGACTGGCACGTGTTTTCTTCAAATGTTGCTTTGCCGATGCCTCGTGGAACAGCAGACAAAGGCCTGCGAGACATAGCTACCATGCATGTGCAAAGCATAAGCCTCACTCCGTCTTGGAGCCGCGCTTCAAACGAAACTGCCCGGGCTCGCGCTTTGGAAGCGGCTCCGGAATATTGATCGCCAGAACGATGACAGCCGCATTGTCTACTTTGGAAACCCGTCCTGCAGATTCCAACACTGCTTGTGCGGCCGCTTCTGAAGATCGACTTTCGCGCAGCACCTTTCGGGCGGTTGTTAGCACAGTCTGTTCTTGCAGCGCATCCCATATGCCATCCGTGGCAAGAACCACAAACTCTGTACTTTCTTGTATTGCAACGACTGTGATCTCCGGCTTGCAGATCAGGCCATTGATCTTGACACCAGTCTTACCTTCGATGTCCCCAAAAGCACGGGAGACCTGGACCTTTCCATCGACGTAGCCTGCATCGATGGTCACGCCGAGCTTCTGTAGGCGATGCTTCTCTTCCGCGTTTTTTTCGGTGGAATGATCCACAGTCTTGGTTGCGACCTTGGCGCCATCGCAGATGACTGCTCGGCAATCGCCAAGGTTCACAAACAAAAGCTCCTTCTCTTGGAGAAGAGCAACACATGCCACGGTCCCAGAGGACGTGCCCGACGGTGACACCTTGGCCTCGTCAGCCAGTTCTGGATACATACACTCCTCTGCTGCCTCGAAAGCCTCGGTAATGGCCTTCTCTTTGTCGGTCGCAAGCCGCAGATGTTGATCCAGCTGCTTTGGGAGAAGCTCCTGGGCGAGCTTGGCAGCCTTGTCCCCACCGTGGCCGTCGAAGACAGCAACGCACGTGTGTCCCGCAACATCGTTGTGAACTGCAACCGCATCTTCCATTCTAGCTCTATCATGTTTGGCTAGAGCGAACCCATACTCGGCTGTACCTCCGCTGCCATACTGTGGCAAACCTTCTGGCCCCTTGGCCCTCACGCCACAGCAATCGCAATAGTTGCCCATTGCCCCCTGTCACGGTTCCCTGGGCTGAATCGAAGGACACTGCACGAGAAACTAACATCTATTCAACCTATTCAGAGGCTATGTGCCGAACCACCACAGCCATGTGTTGTTCACGTGGCGTACGTAAATAAAGTACCTTTCACGGTGATAACCTTCGAGCTTGAGCGGACGATAACGGGCGACTATTCCGTTTTGTAAGACGTGTAGTGCAGTCGCCTTGTTGGGTCCCTCGTGTGCGGTCGGTTCCTTCTTCTGTAAGGTACCTGATTTGGAGCAGTGGCAGTGTGGCAGGAATATCAAATCCTTGCATATTCGCCCGATGCTGGGTATTGCAATCCGTGAAGGTTATGGTACTTGTTGTCACGGTCATGATGATAACCCTCCCCTCAAAAAAAACCGCATATGATCCACTAAAACGAACAACGTTCCCGGTCTTCGGGGCTTCATGCGACCACCGTGGGTGACCCAGCTCCAGGAAGCTCAGACCACTCACGGACTCCCCCGAGCTTCCGACTGTCTGCCGCTCCAGGGCATGGGCCACAGCGCTACGTGTAGCAGACATGCGCCGGGCTGCTGCCTACCATGGGCGTTCATAGGTGGCTTAGGGTCTACGACTTCACGATCTTAAAAGATTGAGAATTACGGATCCGGCCTTTATATTAGGGTGTAGGGTTCAGGCGGTTGACAGTAGAGCTGGCCATCGAGAGCGACACGGATGTCTTAAGCGAATACAACTGCATGAGAGTCAGTGGGTGAGATATGAGCAGGTTGGGCTTCAGTTACGAACAGAGAAGCACCAAGGTAGACTTGAGCAAGCCGCCTGGATGGCGATTCGGCTGGCCCTGGACAAGGAAGCACCCGGCATTCTCGTCATCAGCACCTCGGGTCACCAACTGTTTCAACCGGAACTGCTTCAAACATCTAAAAATCGAATCATTTCGCAGAAGGCCCAAAGAAGATGCTGATAACCGAAGGGGCCCTGGCTCCCAGCAAGTTGCAGATCTCGTCTGTGCCCGTGTCTTCGTCTTTGTCCAGCCACTCCTAGTAACGCTTAGGAGGTTGGAGATACATCTGGCTGCTTCGGGTTCTCCCAAAAAGCATGATTCGGCCGGATTTCGGCACCTTGCGTACAGAAAAGACTATGAAAGGTGCAAGTAAATTAGCTAGGCTAGCACACAGACTCACATACACATATATACACATGTGTATGTATGTATGTATGTATGTATGTATGTATGTATGTATCTATGTATGTATGTATGTATGTATGGATGTATGTATGTATGTATGTATGTATGTGTGTATGTATGTGCATCTCGCGATGTCTGTGTGTGTGCCTGTGCTTGCATGTGTGTGTGTATATATATATATTTATATATATATATATTACTATTATTATTTATCATTATCATTATTATTAGCATTATTATCTTACTTATTATATACAAACATGTATACGGCTCTATATATATATATACATGTACACATATCACACACAAATACCCCAAGATGCGTATGAATGCATATGCGTAGTATGTCACACAGTTTGTTTTGGACATCTCAGCTTGCAAAATTAGAAAAATCATCACAGGCGAACAACTCCTTGGTTGTAAGCTTACATACAGCCAAGCATCCACAGGCTGAGCCCAACAGTGCTGGACCAACGAAGCAACAGATGTAGCTGAAGTTTCTGCAGCTGAAGTAGCGAAATGATGCAGAAGCTGTGTACGAATCAAGTAATGCACTCCAGAACTGTGTCTTAGCTTGTCCTCTAAACATGCTTCTCTGCCACTTCGCATTTTTTTACGTAATGCTTCGTAGCATCTGCGAACCAGGACCCCTTGCAGACAGTCTTCAGCAGGGACTCGCGGCAAGTACGTAAACAAAAACCTTTAACCCAATAATATGGAACAGGAAAAACACGCGGGTGATCCCAAATCGATCCATAGCTCTGCCATGCTATCTATACCAGTGTGCATACACACCCAACACACACGCACACATGTGTCTCGATGGGAACAACAGACAGAAGGAAAGTACCGAAAAATAGCAGGGGGATATACACTGACAGAGATGTACTTGGCAGATTGTAAACCTGTGTCATTGAGTCATACCTATATGACCTATGAATCCGAGTGACCCCCATTAACTGCCTTCTACCACAACGCAAACGACCATAATAATAAAGATCTACACAAAGGCTTCCATAGCAACTCTTCTGGAGCCCACATTTATGACGACATAGCCCATGAAAGTTGAAGCGCAGAGGCAAGAGCTTCCAGGCCTGCCAGGCCTTGACGCCTTCCATGAGCTGCTGGTCCGCCACGCGGGCATTCCTCGGGCTGCGGGTAAGTTGTTACGTGCTTCCTGCTATTGGACACATGTTGTTGTTTGCTCCTTGTTGTCAATGGTTTGGTTTTGGGTCCTGGGTTTAGGGCTTCCAGACAGAGCTAGGCTTCAAGGCGCAATCAAGCTTGTGGATGAGGCCATGACCAGTAAAGTTCAGAGCACTTCAACACTATCAAGCGCCTACTCATAGATTCGTACTACTCCTTACGGCGAATGTGTGTGCTCCTAGCCTAGCAAAGACTACGTGGACATCTTGTACAGTACAGTATATAACACCCGAAAGCACTATGCCGAGTCCATGGCTGCGTCTTGACCATGTTCTCCTGGCTCCCAGCGATTTCAACAACGAGCCGACGAACTGATTCCCGACACTGTCCGCCGAAGTGTTGCTGCTCCATGACACAAGGTTCCTGCTTGCAGGAACTCCCAAGAAAGAAAGCAACATGTAGCTCTCCAAGGTCTGCCGCACCTCCCTCGCAAGGGACGTCTTCAGCTCCTGCGGTGATCACACAGTCATGCGACGTTACGAACATCCATGCCAAAAGAAAGCTGGGCCGACTGTGATTCTCAGAAGCAGCCTGGGACATCTGGGACGAAGGAAGGGCAGCCCGTCCCAAAATGCGGGGCTTACGTCCATCTTCGGATTCACTCATGCAGCTCCGTGCTGCAAGCACACCTTTGCTCTCTCCCTCTGGTACGTAGTGAGATGATGTAATCCAGTGGGACGAGTGATAGCAACAGCAGCATCAGGATCGGCACCGTCGTCGTCTGCATGAGTATGACATTTGTCACGATCATGGCTGTCACACCGGGTCGAGAGTTTCGAGTCCCTTACTTGCTGACAGACAGACGGAATCTCTGAATCCCGTGCAAACACATTTGTATGGCCTGGCCGTGCTTACAACGGGGCGGGCTGAGGTGTGTCGGGATCTGCAGAACAAAAACGCGGCAAACAAGCCGCGAGGGTTGCCACGACTGTATACATCTTGGTATGCCCCACAGCCCCACACATCAATGGTGTGTCTTACGTAGAACCATTCCAATGTCGTTTCAACGCAAGACCACCTGAGAACAAAGCATAAGCGCCTAGAGTTGGAGGCTCAAAGGTCCAGAACTGTCCTTCCAGTAAGTGCGGCGCACCGACTCATCTCCGAATGCTCGCTCCTGCTGAAGGGCATGAGAGTCAATTTTTTCATTCCAGGTGGCCATGCACATGCTCTACCTGCGCAGCAGGACACGGCAAGTTATTGCAAGCAACTGACTCTTCGCAGGCCCACGACCCAAGTAGGCACAGAACAGAAACACTGCGCCTCCCATTGAGCTTTCAGAGCACGCTTGCGGTCGCGGACAACCGTGAATAGTGCCTGAATTGAACAGCCGGAGAGAAGCCAGACTGTTCTCAGAGCAGCATGTGACCTCCAACAAACGGGAACTAGCCTGCTCCCACCACGGCCAATTTATGCCCTTCGGGGTGCGGTCTGCGGCTAGATCTAAAAGATCTCTTGGGGATAGGCCCATACTGATACTGGTATCCGGACATGCATAAACAGCAGTAGAATCTACAGGCAAACCGCAAACCCATAGCCTCTGCCCCTCGAAGGAAGGCAAGCACGCCTCCTCGCTCAGCGGAAGCCTCGCGCCGCCTGACTGGCATCCCGCAGAATATTTACAGTGTATGAGGGGCTGATACGCTTGACGCCTCCAAAAGGGAATGAAGCTCGGTGAATAACGATCCTTGAAATGCGAACGGCGCAGCCTAATCCTTAATGGCTAGCCTGAGTCTTAATGTCACGTGATCTAGACCGAGACGAAAACAAGCTTGTATATTATTATTAATGTGGACTAGACTCCACAAAATTATGCACATGCTTCTTGGGCCACGCCCAGTCCGAAATGACGTAGATCGCCGGCATACCCCCTCACCCCGAAACCTGCAGAAGGGCCTGAACCAGTGGCCTGTGAAGCCTCAAGAAGCAACTTTCAAACAAAGCCAAGAAACAAGGGCCACCAACTCAAAAGACGCTTTGTTATGATATTATATTAGTATGAATAATCTAGTAGACTATACCTTAGCATCGTATATCATAGTATATATATATATATTTTTTTTTNNCCCCCCCCCCCCCCCCCCCCGCCTTCGATGGGGCGCCCGGCAGCCAGAGATTGGAACAAAGACGAAGCCTCGCCCTCAGATTCGGATGGGGGTTTGGTTTCGTTTCGGCTCGGGAGTTGCAGCCTCCACGGCATTGGGCTTCCCTGCTTTTATACTATGGGATACTATAACTTCACTTTAATACGACCAGAAAAACTATTTCAGCATATACAATAATTATCACTTGGTATAGTGTAACATAGTAAGAGTATATGATATGATCTGATGTAATCTCCTAGAAGAATTATGATAGTGGGTCTGCCTATGCAGTCAATTCTCATCCCAAGAGCCCCCGGAGCTCGGCCGTGTGGGCAGCTTCGCCCTTTCTTTTGAAAAAACCATGCTGTTTAGGGTTTAGGGGTTTAGGGTTGAGGGTTTCAACTTTCTGATTCTTGTGATTCTTGTGACAGGGCTAGGCAGCGGCATGTTGAAAGATGACATTACATGTGGAATCTGCCTCGCCTCAAAGTCTTCGCCTGGTATCTACAAGCCTGCGGCA